ATTTTTGCTGATGTCGAAATATAATCCATACTGAAGCCTGTAGCCTTTGATCATCAAGAAGTGCTTCAAATCCTCTTGATTTTCAGCAGGCAGAGTTGTGGCATAGGCATATTGCAGTTTGCAATGTTTTTCATAGTTTGTCACAGTCCACACAGTCAAATGCCTTTCCTTCGTAAAACACAGGGAAACATCTTTCTGGTATTCTCTGCTTTCAGCCAAGATCCTTCTGACATCAGCAGGGATATCCCTTGTTCCCTGCCCTCTTCTGATTCTAGCTCGAATTTCTGATAGTTGCCTGCTAATGTATTGCTTAGCCATTTAAAAATAAATACATGTACATCTTTAGCAAAATATTACTTGTATGTCGCTATTAGTGATACTGATAAGTATTTTCCATATTCCACTGGATCACTTTTCTTTGGAATGCACACAGATAGGGAGCTCTTCCAGGCAGTTGTCTAAGTAGCTGTCTTCCAAATTTTTTGGCATAGACAGGTGAGAACTTCAGCACCATCAGTTCTTGATCACGTGCTATCTCCTGAAATGCTTGAACATCGACCAGTTCTTTTTGGTACAGTGACAGTGAGTATATGTTCTTTCCATCTTCGTCAGGTGTGTTTTTATGTTATTCAGGTATTGCCCATAAAATCCTTCCAAGTTGAATTTTCCGTCAAGGTCGCTTGTTTTGTAGTGTGATCAGTGCCCGTGTGCTCTTACCGTGTGGCTCTCTACCTCCAGGTCTTTTCCACCATTCAGTATAGCACTTTGCTCTCTAGGGCTGCCCTCTGACATCTTGCCCAGCCCCTTCACGTCATCATTTCTTCCATCCACTTTTGCTACTCTGTGTGTAAGAGCACGTTTACCCATTTGGTATGTTCTTTTCCCTGTCTTCTCAATGAAAGGTGTGTGTGTTCTCGTCACACAGCGTCCAGTGTGATGTTCTTTATGTCATTTCAGACTCGTGTGGGCTTCCGTCATGAGTGTTCAATTGGTCAATTCTGTTCTTGAGCTTGTCTTTGAATTCAGATGGGATGGACTCAAGGTTTGCTAACCGCACAAGGTCAGCAGTTCAATCATCATCATTTTCTAAACATTTCCTCTCTGTTTGAGCCCTCTATCTAACTTTCTTTTACAGGCTCTTCAGTTGATTCCAACTCATGGCAGCCCTAAAGGCCAGGGCAGAGCTGCCACGGTGGGCTTCCAGGACTGGAACTCTGTATAGGCATAGAAGGCCCCGTCTTTCTCCCGCGGAGCAGCTGGTGGTTTTGAACTGATGACCTTGTGGGTTGCAGCCTAGTACGTAACCACCAGCGCCACTCAGCCGCTAAAGGCCACTTAAAAATAAACTTAGGGCTTCTTTTACAATAAGATTTAAGGGCACTTTCTTGTCACCGGACTCCATGCATTCTCCAACTCTTCCACCCGCCCCTTCCCTGGGAGCTTTGGCACGGCTCTCCTGACTTGGGAGTGGTGACTGTCTGCGCGTAACAACTTGTTCTCCAATGTCAACCGCAGAGGAGTTGGAACCTGCCAGCTTTCACCTCAGGCTTTGAAGCCGATTCCAAGGTTTTGCCCTTCCTGTCTCAGGAAGAGGGCAGATTGATGATGAAAGTATTTGTTTTCTTTGAAGAACAAGGCTCATGTTTAGGCCGGTGGAATCACTCGGGTTTCTCAGCGAATCCCTTGCCTGCTCTCATCCTGTCATCGGGAAGGACAGAAGACAGCTGGGAAATTTTATTTATGATCTTTTCTTAATGGTCCCGTGATTGTAGACCAGGTGTCTAAAGTGAAGGTTTAGTTGATTGTACTTGAAGTTCATAGATGGATGTACATTGTGGGGGTCAGAATTTGAAGCATTTGTTAAGCCTCTTCAAAAGAACTTTCCACTTTAAGATCCCTTTAAGTGAAATGCATATGCTTTTTAAATTTAAGGAATATTAATCTTTACTATCCCATCCAAGATGAACATTTCACGATACTGTGACATTTATTTAACTACTTCCTCACTATGTCAATGTTAATTTGTACATATCCTGTATACTGTTTATAGATCCATTTGAAACCAAGAAGTAACATTGGTTGCCATTGTAAAAATGACATGGGGACATTTGACCTCCCCTGGATGCACAAATAGAAATGAATGAGATAGTCAAGGTTTATTGTGCCACCTGGCCAATAAACACATGTGGGATTAATTGAAGGGCAGAGAGATAAATGGCTCTGTGAGCCTCGCCCTCTGGTTCTCTGGTCTCTTGTTCTCTGATGGTCGGACCAGTGTGCGGCTGCCTTAGCTGGCAAGGTTCACTTCCTGTGAGACATCCCTGAGGACAATACATGTGGAATTACCCTGATGCTGGAGAAGCCACTTGGAAACCCCTGCTGGCGCTGAGATGCTTACACAACCACTGGATTAAAAGACTTTCTACCCACTGGCCTGTGATCCTTCTGTATTTGGCATCATTGTGTGAGTTTTGTGAGTTTGAGGAGGACTTAGTAGATCGGTATCAGACGTATGGGCCAATCCAGATTTATAGGCTTGGACTGGACTGGGTTGGGATGTTTTCTGAATGTGCACTTACCTTGTATATAAAGCTCTGTCTTATACATATATGAGTTTCTGTGGATTTGTTTCTCTAGTCTACCCAGACTAACACAGTGAAGATCAAAACCGACAGCTTCAGCCCAAGGCCTATTTCTGCAATGCAGCGGTCTGACGTGTCACCACACTCCAACCTTTTCACCAGCGCTCACCTTTACCATCCCGCCCATGGCACTTTCTAATTCTCTGCTGGGTTTGAGAATTTGTTACAATGGCCACACAAAACCCACAGACAATACTTACAATTTTGAATTTATTAGGGATGTTAACAGGTTACAATTCAGGATCAGAAATGCCTAGGATACAGTTCTTTGGTTAGGACACCCACTTCTCAACCATACCAGCAGGTGTATGTTTCCCTGGTCCTTGGCCTTTCGATCATGGGGTCGCATGCCTTCTGCCCTGCTCAGGAAAGTGTTACAAAGCTATGTTAGCTCTTCTGTAAATGCCCAAAAGACACTCCATTCTCTCAGTATGCCTCTGCCCAGAGGTGCACAGCTCTAGTTCCACCTAGCAAAGCTAACTAGTTCTAACTAAGTTAGCAAACTTAGACACACACCCGCCGCCACCACCCTGCTCCTCCCCCACAATTAAGTGCCAGGAGTGCCTAGCAGGGTGGCAGTGCTGACCCCTCATCCTCATAGAGTTCCGTGTGCCCCAAGGGCACCATGTACCTCTATATACATTGTTAACAAGCTATCTAGTCCCTTTGGTGGACCACAAGCCCCGCACATCTACACAGTCCCACCAAGTCCTTTGGTGGGAATTACAAAGATGATGGCTAGAAGAGCCGTATTCAATAATTACTGTACTGTAGCTATCTGAACCCCCCCCCCCATATTTTTAAATCTTGAAGTAATAATAATGTCCCTCTCCAAAATTGACTGCTGTGTCAATTCTGTCATGCGCATCTTTTGGGTTTGAACATGTGATGTAGCAAGTACACGCACTGCTTATTCCAGCAACTTTAGTTGTTCCAGAATAGTTCCTGTCAGCATTTCTTTTTAAAAAAAATCATTTTATTAGAGGCTCATACAACTCTTATCACAATCCATACATACATCAGTTGTGTAAAGCACATTTGTACATCATTGCCCTCATCATTCTCAAAACATTTCCTCTCCACCTAAGCCCCTGGCATCAGCTCATTTTTTCACCTCCCTCCCCGCTCCCCCATCCCTCATGAACCCAGAATGTGGACACTGAAAAAAGTAAAAGCTAAGAAGAACTGAGGCGCTTGATAATTTACAAATTATTATTTTGTCATATCTTGCCCTGTCCGACATCTCCCATCACCCACTCTTCTGTTGTCCGTCCCCCAGGGAGGAAATCACATGTAGATCCTTGTAATCGGTTCCCCCTTTCCAATCCTCCCTCCTACCCTTCCAGTATCGCCACTCACACCACTGGTCCTGAAGGGATCATCAGCCCTGGATTCCCCTGTGTTTCCAGTTCCTATCTGTACCGGTGTACATCCTCTGGTCTAGCCAAATTTGTAAGGTAGAATTGGGATCATGATAGTCGGGGAGGAGGAAGCATTTAGGAACTAGAGGAAAGTTGGATGTTTCATCGTTGCTACATCACACCCTGACTGGCTTGTCTCCTCCCCGAAACCCTTCTGTAAGAGGATGTCCAGTGGCCTACAAATGGGCTTTGGGTCTTGACTCCACACACCCTCTGCCCCTCATTCACTGTAAGTTTTTTTGGTCTGATGA